CTATGTCAAAATAATGCTCAGGTCCATTTTCAAAAATGAAAAAAAAAATGACTATGCCCATCAAGAGCTACAAAGCAGCACACCTGTGTCAGGTCTGGATCCCATGGTTTAGGGACCTCCAGGCAAAGGCAGCCAAAAGAGCTACTTGGGAGTTTGCGTAGTGCGGGAACCCCAGGCCACCTCCCAGAAAAGGGGCCCCCTCCTTTCCCTGCCAAAGGCCAACTGACCGCTACTCACCGAATGTGTCCGGAGGGCCGCGATGGTCTTGGACAGGGCCATATCCCAGAGCTCATCGATGTAGGCTCTGTCCACCAAACCCTGGCTTGTGTGCAGGATGTGATCCTCGATGACGAAAAACCTGACAAGAGGAAAAGAGAGCTGTCAGAGATCCTGCTCCCTTAAGCGCGATCAGTCTGGAAAGAGCTGGAGGGGGCCTGCGAGGTCTTCTAGTCCAACCCCCCCTGCTCAAGCAGGAGAGAACCTATGCCCATTCCAGAAGGGTAGCTGTCCATTCTGACCTGAAGGCCCCAATTGGAGTCCATGTGGTCAGCCCATCTCTGGCTTCACTGGACCTGGAGAAAGGGGTGTGGCCCAGCTGGGGTTCCAACCTGTCCAACTTTAAAGCCCCCTGGACTTCAACTCCCAGGATTCCCCAGCAGGCCGTGAGATTCAGAGCCAGAGTTTTGACTCTCAGCTTCCTCACTGGGTTGTCCTTGTGGGGGCCCCAGGGATGGGCTGCTGGGGGGGGGGTCCACGGGGGTTCGGAGAAGCCCTCAAATCCCACTCCTGGCTGGCCCCGCCCACTCCTCCCCTCCCCTCCCCTCCCCTGAGTCAACACACGGCCCGTTTGGGATGCAGGTAAGCACAACGGGCTGAGGAATTCTGGGAGTTGAAGTCCACAAATCTTAAAAGTTGCTGAGTTTGGGGACCCCCTGCATTAAGTGAATAGCTGTAAGTCGAGGACTGCCACGCTGCACAGACCTGAACCCTGAGCCCTGGTGGGAGCAAACGGTCAAAGAAGGATACCTACCCTACAATCTGATTAAAATACTTCCGGTAGCCGGAGAGGGTTTCATGCTAGAAAGAGCAGGAAGGGAAGATTACAACAAATTGGTGGGATGGGGGGGGGAACCCCAAGAAATGCAGGTGAGCCACCCAAACCCCTTTGGGGATGCGGAGGGGGGGCTTACCATGTTAGAGGGGGGCTGCAGAACCAGCCGGGCCTGCTTTCTTCTCTGCTTCCGGTAGTAGCTCTCAAAGGTATCTCGGGCTCCCTTCCAAGAAGAGAGAACGAATGGGTCAGGCTTCCCCAGGGAACCTTTTTCCCCCACCCCTCTCATCCCCCCACCAAGAATAGGGTCTAGGACGACTCGCCCTGGCCGACTCGCCACGGGACAACTTGAGACAGGGACCAGGGAATGGCCGCGGGCCTTGCCTTCCTTTGAGTTTGGACCTTCTCCTGGTTAGAAGTCCTGGAGGCGGGGGGGGGGGGACGGGGGGGGCAGCTGCAGTTCCACTGGTCCCTCTCGTGAGTTATCCTGCCTTGAATTGTCCCTTGGCCAGTTGTCCCACTCCATTGGCCAGGTTTTCTGCCCCATCCAATTGGCTCCCTTTGGGTGGACCTGCAGCAGGCTTTGGGGGGGGAGGTGCAGCTTGGGGTGCCACCCTTGAAGCTCAGCATGGACACCCTGAGGAAGCTGTGCCCCTAGAGGACAGGTTCCGATCTCAGAAATGAAGCATGCCGTGTATTTTTCTCATAAAGTACCATTTCCCAAGTGAATTCTTTCATAATTTTTTTTT